ATGACAGACTAGAAACAATAGACAACTCCCAAAGCACAAACTCAGCCAAAACGCTAAAAATCTTCAATGTTTACTCAAGTTTGGGCTTATAGAAGATAATGTCACAGTTTTTCAATGACCATGAAATTCAGAGTCCGGGTAGTTAGTTAATCAATTGTGGCCCTGAAAAAATTTGAAGGAAAAAAAAAAACGAATTTTTAAGAAAATGCTTTTCTCGTGAGAAGGGCTCTTAAACGCTGACAAACGTCAACAAATAGCGAAAACTATAATTTCTATATGTTTGCTTTGCTCGAAATCGCGCGCATTTACAAGGCCCTAAAGCGTTTTGCTGACTTGCAAGGACCCATCTGTTATACCGATGCCCAAAATAAAGAGATGAATCTCATAGTTTATTAGATATAATCCGCGTAAAGTTTGCTTATCATTTTCGCATAAATTATGACCTAAATTTGGAAACCGCTGAATTTCTCGAATTGGGTCTTTGCGATTTTGGTGAAACTCTGTTCAGCGCAAGGCACTAATGCGCACTACGTGTAGCCGAGAGATTGAAAATATGCATCGTTCGTTTTTTGAGTAGCCCTTTGTCTTTGAGCATAGTTTAAAATATCTGCTGTTTTCTGTGGCAAAAAAGTAACACTCGAGGCACAAAAGAGGCGCTCTTCACTGGCTGTCATGCATATCCGCCGTCTATCAAAAAAAAAAAATTCAATTTAAAAATTAGTTCGTGCAAACTACACTGGCATCCTCGCCATGACTACAGTTCTCAATACCCCATCCTGCATGTGAGCAGTTAAACAGCGAAGCCTCTTCTCCCTTGCAGCCGACATCATCCAACCAGATAGGATCAGATCCGTGACCGTATTTTGCACCGTGTGGCGCAGAGGAGGCGTTGCGGAAACCAAGTTGGCGACAAACCACTTGAGCATCATTGAGATCCCAGGCATCATCACAAACTGTACCCCAGATCCCTTTATAAAAAACCTCAACGCGACCATAATTTTGTCCTCCCCCTGCAAGACGGATTGGGAAACACTCTACACTGGCGTCTTCAGAATGACCACAATTCTCCTTTCCCCATCCATTATGGCTGCAATGGTAGATATGCGTTTCATTTCCTAAGCACGCCAAATCATCCATCCAAATCTGTCCAGAACCCTGCCCATGTAGGGCCTTTCCAAAGAATTGAGACGCTTTTGGGAAACCAAGCTGCCTGCAAACCACGTTAGCGTCATTCAGATCCCAAAGATCATCGCAAATAGTGCCCCACTCGTTGTTATAGAAGACTTCTACTCTGCCGGTTGATAGTGTGCTGCTTTTTATACGAAGGGAACCAGTAGTGATAGCTTATTTTTCCGGTACAGGAGATAAAATGATTTTAAACAAAAATTAAAAACAGAGAAAGATATAGAGAGTGAAAAAAAATATATATATATCAAAGTGGAGCGTTGTCCGTGCAGAGCCCTGTTGATGATAAAAATCTGATTACCTATACTTATCGGTTTGAATTTATCACGTGACTGCATGACCGGCCGCTGATCGGGTCATATAAGCCAATGTGAAAAGTCACACTTACCCAGACAACAAAAGAAAAATCCTTAAATAAGAATGACCGAGACTAGGTATTATGAGCCCACGAGACTGAGCACCAACCCAAACCTTTGTTTCATTCTTTCACCAAACCATTGTTTTCACTAAAACCGTTGGACGCCACAGCCTGGTTGAGGTCATTGTTATCTAGGGTCTCCCCAATAGAAGCGACAATGCCGAAATGAAGAAAATGATATTGCGATGCAATCGTTCTGTTATAGAGTTCTAGAGCGTTTTCACTCACGTGGCCGGCATCTACTCAAATTTACTGGAACAAAACGAAGCGTTTGCATAAGAAAGGAAGTCAACTCGCATCAACTCGCAGAAGACTACTTTGGAACACCAACGTGGCCTCGAGTGGCCGCCATTTCATTGATTTGGAACACGAATATGGCCGCAGTGACGTTATGTAAAAACACTTTATATACGCCATCCAGGACAAAGTCAGTGTACAGCTTTCAGATTCGGAAGAATCATTCGATCAGATCGCAACTCTGAGACGTCAGAATGGTTCAGAATCGGCATTCACCGTCGACCTGCATACTTCGATCCATTGAGGTCGGTTAGCTCTGATGCATTAATTTGATCTTCGTGGGGTACTGATAGGAAACTGGGTGGCCTGTGAGTTACCGCTCCATTTCGACTAGTGAGCGAGGCAGTAGTGCGAGAACGCGCGAGAAGCTTCCCAGCTCTCAAGACTCCTTTCGCGTACTGCTCACGCGCGACTTCTCGCGACTTCTCTAAATATAGAACTTGTTCGCAGGCAAGAAACAAACTTGCGGGAAGATCTTTACGAAAAATACAACTGCCCAAAATTTCTATTACATGTAGCTACGATATCTCGATTGAACCTTAGCAGGTGATCCAGCTGAAATTAAAGTGGTTTCAAGGGAATCATGATTTATCAATGGAAGATGCATTTTGAAGGAAACATCATTGGGTAGGCTTAGCCACAAGTTGCCGATAAAGTCCCAAAAAGTTGCCGATAAAACTGTCTTAAAGTTGCTGAAAAGTTGCTGAATTTCGAAAAAGTTGCCGAAAAGATGTAAAGACTTAGTAAGTAAGTAAGTAAAGACTTTATTTTATGAGGGTTAGGACGAAATAGCCGGGGCTAATAAACTTGTGGCCCTCTAAATAATAAATAGATAAATAAATAATAAAATAATAAATGAGTATACTAAGCTATAAAAAAATACAAGGTAAAAACCAAAGAATACAGATACTATAGAATCTACTAAATTATTTAAAAGATAAAATATAGCATTATAATCATGTCACAATTCATCAAGTAACTTAAATAGAAAAATGATCAAGATTCTGCTGTTGTTTAAAAAAACCATTCCACAATCCTTTTTTTAAAGAGTCAGCTGAGTCCTTTTGCCTTACGGGCAAAGATAAACTGTTCCACGCTTTGCAAGTTGTGACGGCAAAAGTTCTTCCTCCTTCTGTTTCGCGATTATACCTCGGAGAGGTTAGGTTAAAATTACGGTAACTTGTTTGTCTACTGTGGACGTTACTGTTTAATTTTAGTAGATCGTTTAGATAAACAGGGACGTCACCTTGTAATCGCTTATAAGCAATGATACATTTAGATATTAAAGCGTCTTTAATAAAAAGGCAACCATTTCAGCCGATTAAACAAGGAAACTATTTTTCTTTACTTGTTCGCACTTGAAGTTGGTTTTATTACGGTTTAAATGGTGCACAGTATAACTAAGTTTTATTCGCAATTTTTTTTTTTTTTTAACAAAACTTCATTAAGTAATAGAACGCAAATTCAACAGTTCAATTAATCGGGTCTTCATCTGCACGTTCTTCCCTGCTGGAATCTGAATCACTCACAGTGTTGTCCGCCATCTTGAAAAACGTGTTATGTGACATCACTGACCTTATAGACAGGCGTGCAACACCAAGATGGCATTGGAAATTGAGCCAGTCCTGGAGTCCACACACTCACACTGAGTATAAACCAGTTGAATTTAGCTGACTTTTCTTTCGAAAGCTAATAAATGTCGCGAAAAAAGTAAAAAATAATTTTAAAAATGCTAACAAAAAAAATCGAAAGTTGCCAAGAATTTTAAAAGTTGCGGAAAATCGCAAAAGTTTCCCAAAATCTCAAAAGTTGCCGAAACGTTGCCGAGCAACTTCTGGCTAAGCCTACCATTGGGTGCCCCTAAACCATTAGCATTTATACAAACTGATTTTCATTTGAACTTTCAGTACTGATTAAAATCATGGTGCTCCGGTTGTAAAGTATTACATAGATTAAGAATGAGGTTTTTCGGCATTTCCGGCGAAGCGCGCACGTCAAGAAGTCACGTGATCAGGGCGTTACCGTCAGGTCTGCGGTTTGAGGTCCACGTTTGTACGGCTAGACCGCCCAAGAGGTAAGTGATTTACCGCAAGCCGAGATCTTTTGCACCCTAAAACATCACAATCCCACGTTTGAGAAGAAATAACAACTTTTTGGAACTCTTTTACGTATTGATTGTCGAATTCTATGTCAAAAAAACGTAAGTACTAATGTTGTAGACAATTTCTCAGCTAAAATAGGAGTAAGTCCCAAATATGGGCAGACGTGTAACGTCAAACCGTTAACCGCAAACCGCAGTTTGTCGACGTATAATTTGCAGTAAAATGACCAAACCTTAATCTTAAGGTCTCCTACTTTATGGTAAGTCACCTCGGTATCGAGCTCTGAATCCAAAATCCGTTGGTCCCGCGCTACTCGATGAAAACGTCAAATAAAGATTATTCGTGGTACTGAGGGCATAAGGTCCAGGCAAAATTTCTCCACTGAATCTGCCAATCAGATTCGATGAGGCTGACGTGCCATCGTACACACTAAGGTAATCAGAGGCTTTGGTTTTGAAAATGGAGAAGACCAGTTCCAATATTGTATTTGATGATAAATTCCATTGGCAGGTAATGTTGTTCCCGTACGTCGATGACAAACTTGACTGAATTATTCCACTCAACTTAGAAGTGTCGCTAACCAACAGGCGGGCACAGGAGCTTGACGCTGTAACTAATGGGACTGAAAATGGAAGAGTAACGACAAAGAATTAAAGGGGGGGGGGGGGGGGAGTAAAAATCTATTTTTACTTTTCCGGTTTGAAAAAGCCCCCAAAAAATTTACCCTTCAAATTTAACCGCTTAAAAGCCCAAAACCACCCCCCGAAAAACATGTGGGGGCCCCTAGAGCCTTTCCCCAACTCCAAAAAAAAAATTAATAACATTAATAAAAAACTTTACCCCATTAAAGTTTAAACCGGTTATCTTTCATTCAAGTTCAAATCTCATTTTACTTATTCCGTGTTTAAAAGAGCCTCATAGAGTTTACACTTCAGATTGAACGGCTTAAAGGCCGATACCGACGCCAGGCAGTAACTTGGTGGTCCCTAGAAGCATTTCACCAAGTCCAAATTAAAAATTATAACATTTATTCAGTAATCTGACTCCGTTAAGTTTCAAACCGGTGTCATTTCAGTTCAAAAATTTTTAATTTGAGTGAAATGCAGTCAAAAAGTGCCTAAACACAGACGAAACGTTTTTGTGGCTGGTATATATTGTAAGCTTCTCTATGTGAACCTGCGAACGTCGTTTTTGTAGCGCGCTTACCAACAAACCGTCGATTTTGCGTGGCAAAGCTGCTAGCAAGCTCGTGCAACCACAACAAACATCGAAAAAGAAAACGAGAAAATAAGAAAAGACAGAGAGGTTTGTAATGGCCTACAATAAGATTACCGAGTACCTCTAAAGAGATTGTCGTTTAGGGAACATGAGTAACAAGGTTGAAACTCTTTTCCCTATTCTTGGATTAAGCTGCGAAAAAAATCTATAAAATGTACTTTATTTTATTTTCCATGTTACCTCGGCATCTTTTTCCATCTCCAATAAAACCAGGCTGACACGAGCAAAGGTAAGAACCATCATTGTTTTGGCAGTCGGCATTCGGATCACAGACGGAGGGAACAATGCTGCATTCATCGATATCTGTGAATAAATGATGATTAGACTTTATACGATCGATGTCCAAGTGCGTATCTCCTCGAGTATAGACCTTTTTTTGCATGTGATGCTCTTACTATTAAACCTCCCACTTGAATTGTAGCGTACAAAATTAACCGTCCTACGACAATTGCAAAGTATTTGTAGGCTTGCTTTAGACCGTCTACGAATCGTTTCGTAAACTTATCGTAAGCAAATGGCATGCAATAAAGTAATGTACCGTGAGTGTACCATAATCTCGTTTTAAGGGTGGTGACAATCCCAAACAAAATTTTCCAAAACAACTACTGATCTGACACTGATTCTTTTTATGGTCAAAGAGAGGATTTAGTTGAGTGGAAAATAGTTTCCGAATTTTTCAGGTCGATTCTCTGAAAGACCCCTGAAGGTTACAGCGGTAACTCTGAGAGAAGAAAAATTAAATCTATTAAGCACCTTTTTGAGCGATACTAGGTAGGTACGACAAATTTTGGGGGCGCACTATTGACGAGGGTTACGACTTGCAGAGCATTTCTTGTTTTACCACTCGTGTCTTGTCTTGTCTCAATGGTTCTTATTCGTAAGGTGGTCCCTTGGTCGCAAACGGCCAGAAATAGGGAATGACCTTCAAAGCATTGACGCCCAACTTCTGAGAGTGATTTTTGTGTGTTTAAAGGAGGGGCGGGGGGAATCCGAATTAAATTATGTCGACTCCTGCTGAAAGAAGTCGGATTCCGTTTTTTTTTTTCACGTCAGCTGTATTCCTGACTGAAGAAGAAAAATGTATTTTTCATATATTTCCAAGGCTTAGTTAGATTCACCCTCAATCGACATTCTGGACACGTGAGCCGGAGCAGTCTATCGGCAAGTGTGGCGGTGTGCAGTTGAGACTAAGCGTTCCGTAACTGTAGCCCAGGCCCTATTCCTAACACTTTCAACTTCCCCCGCACCTGCACTTGCACAAACCTTGCGTCCTTTGAACCTAGATCATTCTTCCATAAGTGCAGATCCCTTGTAGCTAAATGGTAGAGCACCAGGCCTAAGACTGGTAACCAGAAGGAAGCAAGACAAAGCAAACTATGGTTATTAAACCCAGTTTACGTATCTTACCCCGGCATTTTTTGCCATCTCCAGTAAAACCAGCTTGGCATAAACAAAGATATGAACCTTCATTGTTCTGACAGGTAGCGTTTTGGTCACAAATGAAGGGAACGGCGCTGCACTCATCAATGTCTGTTAAAGGAGAACAAGACTAGTCGATAGGGAGTTAAAGCCGCGACGTTTTGGAGCGAAGCACGTCAACCAGAAGTAAGCTTTTTTCTCTTTTAATATGCCTTGACAATCACCAAATTTTATTGCTAAGTGTCTTTACACTTATAGAGACGATTTGCCCAAGAATTTATTCAAAATCAAGGACGAAGAGTGCAAAAATTTATCTTCCGCTAGACGTGCGTCGCTCAAAAACGTCGTTGCTTAAACTCTCAAACTCCCTATTTCCAAATCAACTTAATAAACAAATAAATAAAAAAGAAACATTTAAGAAGTAAAATTAACTACAAATTTAGTAGATGGGAACCACATGTTGTAAATGAAAGACACAAGAAGTGAGATTCCTGTCTTTTCGTAACATTTGTATTCGAAGTGCCTGCGTGTTTTAAATACACTGAAGCTTCAAAGGCCTGCGTGAGGCAAAATCAATTTAAATTTCTTTTTCGAAAGAAGACTAATCCACAGCACCCTAGGCTATGCAGTGAAGAACGTGAAGTTTGGTCACGAGACAAGTCATGTCATCAGATCAGTATATACTGATTCAAAGAAATAACTCGAGTGAAACAGTGGCGTTCTAAAAAACCGAACGTCTGTACCAAATCATGTCGAGATTCACTTTTTACTGCTAAAGTTACACCTATAAACCACAGAAGGAACATTACGCATTACCCTGGATCGTTTGCTTATTACTTTAATCTGTTTTGAGAAATAGCAGCTTCGACAACTCACAAACCTTGGCACGTTTTCCCATCACCAGAGAACCCATTCTTGCAATTGCAGGCATAGGACCCATTGGTATTAGTACATTGGGCATTGACGTCACAGACAGGCAGGGAAGCGGTACACTCGTCAACATCTGAATAAAAAACAATAGCACTTATGTAGCGCTTTCTGATTGACCACGCAATGAGGCATGATATTTACAATTTGTCATGGTTACCGGTTTGTATTTTACAATGGCGCTAAAAGTCACTGGAAATAAATATTGGGGACGCTTTGTAAAGTTATTATAATAGCATTAATTCCTTTTCATATTGAAAATAAACAGGAGCCGAAATAAAATAATAATTTAAAAAAGCATTAAAAAAAAAGCATAAAGCATTCTGTTTGACTGATGAACTCGTTAGGAGAGAAAAGAGGCTTCTTACGCCCAAACTGCTCATCCAGATTGAGAAAATGCGCTTGTAAAGGATATTTGTATATTTTTCATAGAATAATACTAAGCTGAATTGTTCTCGATTAGAATGTAAATTATACTCTATTTGGCCAGGAGACGATAAATCGGCTCCTGTTTCGGCAGGGTTTTAGACGACGAAATAGAGACGTTTACGTGTTACGGAAGTACTCATTAGGAAAGGTTCGACTGTACTTGCCTCCAGTGTTCATGTCACAATAAGCCAAAACAGGGATACCAGGCTTTATGGTGCTTAGCCAGTATTTTTTGCTCACCGCATGTTCTTCACTCGCTTTAATTTCTTTACACGTTTCCGCTGGCAGCTCAGAAATAGAACCGAGAGGTGCTACAATGAAAAGGTGACATAAAAAATTTATTTAATGACTAGTCCTGACAGTAATTTTGTTTCCCGAAAGTCTCAGTGTTCGCTGAGGGAATCATTGAGAAGCGACGGAAACAAAATAAACTGCTTCCCAAGGGGCCAAGGGGTTATTTGTTATACAGCTGGAAATTTTGAAGCTGAAAATTCATTAATCCTCTCAGTAACTGCAGTCGTAGTCGTAACTGCAGTCGACGGTCCGCATTCGCGGGTAACAGTGCACTCTTACCCTCTGAGGTCATAGATTTTGTAACGTTGCCGCTCAGAGATTTTGGCGGGAAACAGTTTCATTGTTAGATGTCATGTGACCTTGAAGTAGCCAATGACAGCGCGCGCTTTTGGGAAAAAGGTCCAGCTATATAACAATGATTGTTATTTTTCATAGACAATTCCCACAATCATGCAAACAAACACACCAACTTGAGGCCTGGAGTGAAACAATACAACGATCTGAATTCGTGTAATCACTGATGCGAAACGCGAGAAAAGTCTACTCCTCAAAACATGCAGTGCTTAGAGATCTTGTTCAAGCGAAACCGGATAAGACATCCTAAGATTTTTTCTTCGTTTTCCAAAAAAAAAAAAAGACAGACAGAAAAAACACGGCCATACTTAGCGTAGCTGAATCGTTTGTGTCCGTCCACATGAGAACGCTAAAATGATGGAAATACCATTAGTATCCCTATCAGAGAATGCGTAGAGCTAGGGGTATAATATGAGGGCGTCGATAAAACCTGGAACACGGAACATGCCGGAACATTCCGGAACATTCCGGAACATCCCGGAACATGAAAAAGTAAAAATAATTTTCATAAAAAATTATAAAAATATAATAATAATAAAACAATTTTTGTAAAAATAAATAATAAATGAGAAACGAAAAATAAAGAAATAGAGAAAAAGAAACTCGTATTATCTGCGAGCATGAGAAAACAATATTTTGTCGCAAATTATTTGTTGGGCGAGTGAGGGTCCATGCAAATGACAGTAATGATTGAAGGCTTGTTTCTAAATTCAAAATATATAAAAATGGGTTGCGAGGAGGAGGGTTTTCAAGCTTTCCTCACACAGCCACCTCTTGTAAATGTTTGCCATACGGGTTAACGGTTATCCATTTACGGTTTTGCGACCGCAATAAGAGCTTAGGGCTCGTTGCTTTGGACTTGGATAAGATTCACATTCGCCATGAATAGTTGCAGTGGCAGGGGTAGTGCAGCGGTAGTTTGTAACTGTTATCAGTTAGCCTGAATTTTAGCCGTCTTCCGAGTCGCAAGTGAAGTTTGCGACTCGGGGAGATGGCTGAAATATCAGGCTGACTGTAAACAGTATAGAAACTACTACGAATGTGAGTATTGTCCACTAAAATCCAAAGACAGGAGCCCCTGAGCTCTTCTTAAGTGCACAGAGCCTAGTCTGTAAGTAATTCATGTCAACCTCAAGAAAGCAAAGCACCTCAGGTAAGAAAATGTCGGTTATATATAAGGACCGACTTGGTTTGACATGAACTGGTGATACTGCACCGACATTTCAGACCATCGCAGAGCCGTAAATGGATAACCGCCAAATGATTAACTCACGGCAAACAAGTAAAAGAGGTAGCTGTGTGAGGAAAGCTTGAAAACCACCCTCCTCGCGACCCATTTTAATATATATTTGAATTTAGAAGCAAGCCTTCATTCGATCATTACTGTCATTTGCATAAACCCTTACTCGCCCAACAAATTAATCGCGACAAAATATTGTTTTCTCATACTCGGAGATGATATCAGTTTCGTTTTCTTAATTTTTTTTTTTTTATTTTACGTTATTATTAATTTTTACAAAAACTATTTTATTTTTAATTTTTCTTTTCCATGAAAATTATTTTTATTTTTTCATGTTCCGGGATGTTCCGGAATGTTCCGGCATGTTCCGGCATGTTCCATGTTCCTGGTTTTATCGACGTCCATAATATGATCATTGTATACGCGAAAATCTTCGCTTTTTTGCCCGTCCGCACGTAAACGAGAAGCCGGCGTATTCAAAAGTCTCCATTCTGGGGGACGTTTTTGAAAATTCATTGTCTTCTAATGCATGTATCAGGAAGACTCGCTTGTGGATCACTTACGCGGGTATTCTACATTAGTATACAAAAAATAAATACGGTAATTGTATAACGACATGGCACTTTTTTTCTGACTGTAGGACTTCGTTACCCTACACCAACGTGCGAGTTCAGTTTACCTCGATTCATGCCTCGTTTGTAGTAAAATCTGTCTGGATCGGGAACAAAATCCTCCGGTCTGGCTTCTTTGGTTCTATCACTGAATTCGCACATGTTGGTAGAGATCACCCAATTGAAACTTTGGCATCTGTTGTCTTGACGACAGATTAGTACGCATTCAAACCCGAAATTAGCCATCGTTGTCCTGTATACATGTCCTTGCAGTTTCCAGCCGAAGATTGATGACTCGGATCCACCTTTAGTGCATTGTTGAGCGAGCACTCTGTTGAATATAAAACTTAGAAGAAAGAGCAACGTGATGTAGACGGTCAGTTTTGCTGCCATTGTTTTGGTCGATGATGTGACTCACAGATCTGAAAAGAAAAACGTTTCGTCTAAATAATGACAAAAAATGATATTTAATACAAACGGAGTCAATGAAGTCACCTGGGCACTGGATCTGAAGATGAAGTTTTGATAGCCAGCCTCTCGTCTGACTCAGAGCAAATCTAGCTCACCAAAAAAAAACAAACAAACAAAAAAAAACATCATTATTAAAAGCTTTTGTTGTTGTTGTTGTTGTTTTTGGTAAAATGTCTCTAGTATTAAGTTCCTGTATCAACCTGAGTTAATAAAACCAAAGCCGAAGCTGCATTTATCTTTTCGCCGTTAGAGAAGATTGTTTTTGGTCCAAATTTCTTGCGCACTACTGTAATATAATGAGATAGCGGGCTTTGAACCAATATCAGCCGAAGATTCTTGTTAGTTAAGTATGCAAGTTGTTTTCTCATGATATTGACCTTGCGTAGTTCACTAAATTTGTTACAGTAAAAACCCGTGAGTAAGAACCTGTTAGGCTAGATTTTTATCAGTTAGGCACCCTCTATAACAGAACCTATTTAGCCTAAAATTTGAAACAGGTTCTTTTTTTCAAAAATCCTTAAAAGAAATTGTGTACACTTGGGCAACTGGACCTNTAGTTAAGTATGCAAGTTGTTTTCTCATGATATTGACCTTGCGTAGTTCACTAAATTTGTTACAGTAAAAACCCGTGAGTAAGAACCTGTTAGGCTAGATTTTTATCAGTTAGGCACCCTCTATAACAGAACCTATTTAGCCTAAAATTTGAAACAGGTTCTTTTTTTCAAAAATCCTTAAAAGAAATTGTGTACACTTGGGCAACTGGACCTTAAAATTCATGTGATCAGCGCTTCAGAACCCATCAATTCATCTTCTCGTGGACGTGTTATGCATAAACACTAATTTTGTATACACGAGATGTTATAAGGAAAAAGCTGAATAGAACTTAATACTCTTAGCTTAGCTTCCATGTATTTTTTCTTCAGAAAATAAGAACCTTTGTTAGTAAATAAGCGGATATTAGAACCTAAACAGCCTATATTTATGCTAATCGCCATTTATATGTAAGAACCTGTTTAGGCTAACATGGGAAAATGCAGCGGATTCTTACTGTATTTCTCTTTTAGTCCGATATAAAACTACTCGGTCTAGTGGTAGACTAAAGAAAATTGATAACCGAGGCAAATGAATTCCGCGCCTTGAAAACGTGTTGTCTGTCAAGTTTCTATTGCAGGCAGCTTGTTACTTGCACAATCTTGATGGCACCTGTATTGAATACATAGTGACTACGTTAGCCAATATCACTGAAAGATTGCAGAATTCTCGATAGTATACGAGTCGGTTTCTACATATTTACTTCCCGTAGTTCCCTGCATTCGTTATTCCACTTTTAGTCTCATATAAAACTACTAGGTCCAGTGCTAAACAAGAAAATATGGATTACTAAGACAATAAGTGTCCCGCCTCTTGAATTAAGGTGGCTGTGTCAGGTTTCTATTACGGACAGCTTGCTACTTACGAAATGGCACCTGTAATACATTGTGACTACGTTAGCCAATATCACTGACAGATTGCAGAATTCTTGCTAGTGTGCAAGTCGGTTGTTACTAAATAACAATTATTCCTCGAGTCCGAATGGGCTCTGAGCCAGAATAATTGTTTTAGTAATATAAAATCCAACTAGTTGGTCAAAAATATCGAGAATAAAAAAAAAAAAATTAGCTCGTTAAAGCTAGACTTCAATCCTTTTTTGCCGCCAAAAGGCGCGCGCTTTAATTTTCGCCACTAGTAGGCTATAACATATAGCCTAGTAGTAGCTCAACCAATCAGAACGCAGCATTGATAATAGACCACTAGTTGGATTATACTAATGATATTTACTTCGCGCAGCTCACTGAATTTGTTTTTCCACTGTTATTCTCATATAAATAAAGCTACTAAGTCTAGTGTTAAACTAGGGAATATTGCGGGTTACTCAGGCAGGGTAATGTTATTACAGCCCCAGTTATTGAGTGACTCAAACTTTTTCTCGTCCACGTTAGTTTCGATGTATTTGATAACGCAAGCCTGAAAAAATTCAGGCTTGCCAGGATTTGAACCTTGCAACAGTGTTTGAGAGGTCAGGGCTCGGAGGGTCTGATAAGCCTGAATTTTTTCAGGATTTCTTTTCGCAACTGCATAAGTTGCGTCTTTCACTGCGATGACCTTCTTTCCATTTTGTTTATTTATTCCGTGGTTCAAGTATGAAATTCAGACATTTAATATATTCTTTATATCGCAATTCTTTTTTCGGTCAAAAACGGTCTAAGACCCTGTCCGCACTACGCCGTATTTTAAAAAAAAATTGAAAACGTAACATTGTTCTTATGCTTTAAAAGGTGAGCCTTTCACGTTGATATTTATATGGACCAAAAATGACACTTTACCTAAACGTCCTTCAAAGTGGATTACATGTAATCTGAATAACACCATCCTACAGCAGCTCCGCGAGAAGATAAGCTCAGAAGCACTGAAAGCAAACGACCTGGCAGAGATCAAGGGTGCCGTGAGTGGGTTAACAACATTGCCATTGAAGTCTGAAAACTTCGACCTGAACAAAAGGGAATTCTACGATGCGCTCAGCCTTAGGTACCGCTGGACACCGAAGTACCTCCCATTTACATGCATGTCCTGGCGGCAAGAGATTCGACGTTGATCATGCAGTGTCATGCATCAAACGCGGATTTGTCCATAGGAGGCATGACGAAGTACGCGACCTGTTCTCATCCATTCTCAAGGACGTATGCCATGATGCTGAGGTCGAGCCACACCTTCAGATCTTGACAGCCGAGAAGTTTAACCAGCAGTGCCAACTCCTCTGATAAAGCTCGTTTGGATACCACTGCGGACGGTTTTTGTAAAAGGGGGCAACGTGCATTTCTCGATGTCGGGGTTTTTAACCCTTTCGCAACGAACCACCTAAACCAGAAACTTGACACAGCTTTCTCGAGCAATGAAAATGAGAAAAAGCGACACTACAACCAGCGAGTGTTATTGAAGTCGAGCATGCCTCCTTCAGCCCTCTCGTGTTCTCACCATATGGAGGAAATAGCAGAGAAGCCGATTACGATTTCTCACTGAACTAGCCCTGAAGTTATCCGAGAAAAAGCGAATGGAGTATAGCATCGTAATTTATTGGCTGAGAGTAAAACCATCTGTTAACTTATTAAGATCAACTGTTTTATGTGTAAGAGGCTCCAAAACAATTAAACAATTAAACATTAGCGGAGCAGAAATCAGAAATGAGATCGGAAAAGTAAAGTAGACACGTTTTATTTATTATCATTTTTTAAGTGCTGCATAGAGTATTTTAACCTCAGCCAAGGGCTTTTTATAGTTGTTTTGCAAAATAGTCTTTTTTATCTATGGATTTGTGATTAACTTTTATCTATGGTTGTATACTGTGATCTGTTATCCAATGATTTTTTTGATTATTTGAAAACGCCGGCTTTGTGATTTACTTTGAACAAAAATACTTTGTAGAAGGAATTTTTCGAAAACGGCCATCAAAGGAATGCGCTTTAACTTTATCGGCGTTGGTGGATAGAGGTTTTATCCAACGTTTTGAAGCTTCACTGTTTTTTGCAAGTTGTCCGAATTAACGTGGACGGGACCTTTATTAGATTGTCCGGCAGAAAGGTTTGTTTCAATTTATTTCACGGACTGAGAAACTTGAGTTTCATTGCTAAAGAGTTGACAAGAGCTGCAAACGAACATAAAAATGAAACAATAAATGATTCGCCTTGATTATAAAAAAGGGACCATGCCATTACAGTTGTGATTGTACATTTAAAATCTTCTGACAAGACTCGCTTGCATTTGCCACTCTTTTTATAACTTAATATCATTACTTAACCTGAAATAGGCAGTCTCTTGGAACTTAAACGAATTTAAAATGTGTTCGCCGTCAATATTTCGCCGTTCTATAATGATGATGATGATGATGATGATGATGATGATCTTCTTTAATGTAATACCATTATATTTAAGCAATAGACCACACTTTCTATGGGTTTACCGGCGTGATAACCCACGCGGGGTGTTGGGAGAACACGAGAAAAGCTTGTAAATCACGAGCCGAAGGCGAGTGATCTACAAGCTTTTCGAGTGTTCTCCCAACATCCCAAGTGGGTTATCACGCCGGTAAACCCATAGAAAGTGTGGTCTATTGCTTTTATAAAATAACTTCTGGTAGAATAGTCTTTTTGGTAAAAAATATGGTTCTATTACCGTGATCAAGTCACGTCTTCTCTCTAAAGTCATCATAAGCCAATCATGACTCACGATTTAATAGCGTTGAACTTTCTCAAAACTCAGTTCAGTCAAACAACAAACAGCAGCACTTCAAAACACGAGTTTTTGCACTCATTACATGATAACTTATGAAAGCTGTTTTACAGGAACGTACAATGAAAGAATACGTTCATGGTTTGTTTACTACAAAAGTAGAAATTAATTGAACATCAGACTGTACGCAGCTGTATTTTGTTGAGTCGATCCGTAAGAATTTCATTGTTACAGACGG